TGCAGGAAACATAAAAAGTGTAAACATAATCCAGGCATATGCATATGTAACCCCTATGAAATACTGGTATGGTCCAGAGGGGTGGAATTAAGAAATGGTGGTATGATAGAAAATTCAAATCAAAAGGATTGGGAAAGCTGAAGAGATAGGAGCTGCAGTTGTCACTGAGGCCCTTGCAAACTTGGTTTAGGTAACATTCCTGCATGTTTGTGTTGAGGGGTGAATCACATAATGAATTCATGTATATACAATTGAAGTGGCATTTTTTTCCAGGGTTTTGAGGACTCTTCTATGTTCAGACAGTTGAAGATGACATTTTGGATTCTTTCGTTTGAATTGGATTCAAAGGGTCTTTTAGCCTTTGCAGCTCTACAGCCGGTTTTGTTTGTTTGGTGCTGTTGCGGGGGGGGGGGGGGGCTTGGGTACATGAGTTATGGTGTTTTGTTATTATTTTATATTATAATTGTTCATGTTGTTCTGTTATAAAATGGTTGATTTTGTATGTTGGGTTGTGTTTATAATGTTCATTAGAAAGCAAATAGTCCTATAAAGTCTACTAGTGTTACACATATGTATGATAACTGTAACTTTGACTGGGTCTGGATTACCATATACATGTACACAGATGCCAACTGTTTATTACTGCATCAACTTTGAGTTGTTTATCTTCTATGGAAACCAGACTTTCCAGGTTCAGATGTCATACTAATAACTCAAGAACAGGGCATTCCTAGGTTGCTTGTTGAAGGTGAAAGTGACACATGCATGAGAAGTAGCATGCTTGCTTAGTCATGGCATTTCCTGGGTTACCAATGCAGAGCTGGCTTTACCTATTAATGTCCTAAATATGGTAGCATCCGTTTTATCACAACAATCTTGTAAAGTAAATAATGATCCCATTTAAATCTAAGCAAAATCATTGTGTATGCATCCTTAAGTGGCCAAAATGGCTACACGCACACACAGGATGGAACTAGAAGCATGCTGCAAAGAACCCCAACATTTGCAGAAATTTAAAAGAAAAGAGAAAAAAACAAAAGATGTGGGGAAGGCATACCAAAAACAACTAAGTTTAGACTGAGCGTGCCCAGTAGAATGCCGGCTGTTAGGAAAACATTCCTCCCCTTGGAAAATGTGTGAATGCGCACATGTGTGTGGAATTAACTATTTTTTGCTGATCTAAGGCCTAGGCAACATGGTAAGTGGCCAGGGATGCTGGGAGTCCAAAACATCTGGACAGCAGGTTGAGGAGGACTGGAATAAAACTTCCTGGAAAAGGGCATGAGTCCCTGATTGGAATCATGAAAAGAAGTGCTCCACATTACAATATCTTGTCCCCTATTATATCACATTGATCTATGGCCAGTTCACATAACTCTTTTGAGGTGTCAGGAGGACTTGAAGAATTCTGATTGGAACTTTGCTTGCGCTGAAGCCTGAGAACTTCATAATGAACAAAGGCTGCAAGCCAGCATGGCATAGCTAAATCCTCTTTTAGAAGACTAGTGATGGCATATTGACCTGCAACCTGTGATCAACTGTGCTCACTGTGGTAGTATGTAGAGGTGTTACACATAACAATCAACATTGTAATTGGCACTTGGCATTCCTGAGCCTATCAGCTCCCTGCCCTTGGCCAGTTTGTCAAGTACTGTTACTACCACACAACATCTGCTTCATAGAGGACTGTGCACTCCATATGACACATTCAACAACCAAAAATGTAGATATGCAGTAATATAATATATTTACATACTCTTAATGTATCCTCCCCACTTGAAGGCAGCATGAAAATAATTTTAAGAAAATGAAAAGAGGGAAACGTTTCATCCTTTTTATGATAGCAGCTGCACATGACTGGCTAGTCTATGAGCACAAGAATTTCAAGTGATTCCCATGAGTCTCCTGGTGGATTACTTTGAGCCTGACAGATTTTATTCCATGAAACCCTCTTCCTGACATGCCTAAAAAGGCATGTAATGTGGATTGACCCTCAAATGCAGAGCTGGCTTATATACTGATTCAGGCTGATTTTCTCCTGAGAGGATTATTTTAAAAAAAACAGCACAATTTTCATTAAATCAACTCATTATCATGAAACTAAGCCCTGATAAACTTCCTCACTTGCAGAAGTGCAGGTGATTCTGCAATAGATTTTGTAATACTTGACTTGAGGCTCTGGCAGGCTGATGGGGAAGTGATAATAAGCAGAGTAGAGTGTGCGAAGGGCTCCAGAAGCAACATACTGTTTTTATTTAGTTCTCCTTTGAGTCATTAACAGTCAGGCGCCAGTAGAACTGAAACTTATCATTATTACAACCACAAATGGGCTTTGTGTCCAAAAGTAAGATCTTATCCTCTTAGCTGGTCCTTAAAGGCAAAGAGAAAAGAAAAAAAGCCAAAGAAAAGAGTATTATAAAACTACCAAATGTAATTTTTAAATGTAGATTTAACACTGCGTTGCATGTATAAGTGAGTGGTCCTTATCACCCAAAGGAGACAGGAACAATTATTAATAACTATAGCTTAGACTACACATGCTTAACTGAAACAATCGTGTATTACATCTCTATTTGTTTCCATATAGGCTAATAGCTGAAGTTTATGGAATAGAGGTTAATGCCATAAATCAGAAGAATTACAATACAGCATAACATAAAACCTATATTTAAAAACAACAGCTTCAGAATATATCCAAATATATTCCAACAAAGGCAAACAACAGTATAAGAATCTAAAATGTTCTAATGGAGGGCAGTCAGTACCCAACCCAGCCTGCAGGATATTGGGGTTCACTACTAGTACAGTGGGAAGCAAGGAAATTCTGCCATTACCAGAATGAGCCAAATTCTTGTTTCCAAAATGAGGCAGGTCTGCAGAGCTTACAAAAAGGAGCTCCACTAACCCATGCCATTCAAAAAATGTCTAAGGTTGATGTCAAAAGTGCTAGTTCCTGTTACACTCATAGTAGGTCCTGCTACTGCAACAGAAACAGCAGGAGCACAATGTCTATCTTGAATATAGTCAGTGATTTTTTTAACACAAAAGACAAAAAAGCATGGGTGAATAAAAAGGAGACATTACAGTGCTGAAAAGGCCACAATATGGGTGAGCCTCTCTGGGGAAGGCATTATACAGCTGGAACACTCCCACTGAAAAGTTCCCCTCTTTAATAGTTATCCAACTCATCCAATTTGGTAGAGCCACCCAGAGAAGGACCGCCAAAGTGATCTTACTGTTCAGGCAGGTATATATGGGAGGAGATGCAGGTATCATGTTTTCCCCTCGTTCCACATTATTTCCTGTTCTTCTGTTCTTATCTGTTTATATTGTAATCTCCTTGGGGCAGAGGCTTGTCCTGTTATACCATGTGAAGCACGTGCACACAGGTTACGTTATATTGTTGTTGTTGTTAGTCGCGAAGTCGTGTCCGACCAATCGCGACCCCATGGACAACATTCCTCCAGGCCTTCCTGTCCTCCACCATCCCCCGGAGTCCACCCAAGCTCATACCAACTGCTTCAGTGACTCCATCTAGCTACCTCATCCTCTGCCATCCCCTTCTTCTTTTGCCATCTATTGTTCCCAGCATTAGGCTCTTCTCCAGGGAGTCCTTCCTTCTCATTAGGTGGCCAAAGTATTTGGGTTTCATCTTCACTATCTAGCCTTCTAAAGAGCAGTCAGGATTGATCTCCTCTAGGACTGACCGGTTTGATCACCTTGCGGTCCAGGGGACTCGCAGGCGTCTCCTCCAGCACCACAATTCAAAGGGCTCAATCCTTCGGCGCTCAGCCTTCCTTATGGTCCAGCTTTCACAGCCATACATTGCAACTGGCAAAACCATAGCCTTGACTATACGCACTTTTGTCGGCAGGGTAATGTCTCTGCTTTTTAGTATGCTGTCTAGCTTTGCCATAGCTTTCCTCCCCAGGAGCAAGCGTCTTTTAATTTCTTGGTTGCAGTCCCCATCTGCGGTGATCTTGGAGCCCAGGAAAATAAAATCTGTCACTACCTCCATTTCTTCCCCATCTATTTGCCAGGAAGTGAGAGGACTGGATGCCATGATCTTAGTTTACTTAATGTTGAGTTTCAAGCCAACTTTTGCACTTTCCTCCTTCACCCACATCAAGAGGCTCTTTAGTTCCTCTTCACTTTCTGCCATTAGAGTGGTATCATCCGCATATCTGAGGTAGTTGATATTTACGTTATATTAACAATACTTAATTCTCCAACCCTGTGCTTTGCTGTGTGGAGGTAGCAGAGCATCGAATCAGCTATTAACATTTTATCTGGCACTAGGAACTCCAGAGGGACTGTAGTCCTTGATACCATAGATACATATTTATTTACAAACCCTTCTTTCCTGCGAAATTAAAACACAATTAAATTGTGTGTAAGAGGTAACTTTCCTATGAACAAGAAAACAGATTTTCCCCCATCAGGCTTTCTCAGATATATATGCCTGCTATATCATACAAATCTAGCTCCTAAGAGCTGTACTTGTAAACATAGATATGCTTCAACGCTTTTCAAATGCAATAGTAAAAACTAGAGAGATAAATTACTATTGTTATCTAACATTTCCAAAGACAATAGCTGGTGCTCTTGAATGCTTCTGTAGAGCACTGAGTTCTGAAATCAAAGCCTATTTTTAAAACAACCAATACTAGGAGCATAGTCTGCTGCGTATTTAGACCGGGGGTGGGAGGAAGAGAGAGAGAGAGGAGAAAAAGCCCTACAACTCCCGGCGTTCCCCAGCAAGCTATGCTCGGTGGAGGGTTCTGGGAATTGTAGGCTTCCCCCCCCCCATGTAAACATGCACCCTCAAGGCGACTTCGCAGTGCACCTGGGCATCTGGTAGAAGGGAAGGAAAGGGGTGCGCCAGAGAGGGTACACATCCGGGTATACATCCTTGCTTCCATTCCCGCGACGAGGACCCTCGTTGCGCGGGCCTTTGTTTCTGGCCGGAGACTATTTTCCTCACCGCCGCGTCTGGTGTCCTGGAGACCGCTAGGAAAAGAGGCGGTGGCGAAGGGCTGGCTGCGTGGTCACGATGCTGAACGCAGATCGCCTCTCTCAGTCGGGGCTCGAGTATCTGGGTGAGGCTCAGGCGGGCGTGGCATGCAGAGCAGGTGGACTCTCTCTTCTCGCCGCAGGGCCAGGGTTGTCTCTGCGGCTCCCTGTGCGAGCTTTGGGGGGGAAAGGAGAAAGGCGGGTGGGGATGCGGGCAGGCTGGCTGTCAGTCAGGGAGGGGTGTGCGCACGTTCAGTTCCCTGCTTCCCTCGCTATGATGGCTGTTCCATTTCTCTACTACCCCTAGTTGTATTTCTCTAGCTCCGTGGCACAGATTAGAAACTGAGATTGAGGGGAAACGACCTTCCTCACCCATCCGCACTATGCAGCGCATCCTGGGTGGGACGGTGATTTGAACCAAACCGTGATCAAAATTTTCAACATTAATTGAATTTTCTGTAGGTTCCTCATCACCATCCCTTCCCCTGGTTGAGCATATGATTGATGCTTTAGGTACCAGGGCAATATACTACGCTGCTTGAAGACATCTGCCAGGTCTATCTGAGCTTTCTTTTATCATTTTTATAATGCATTATTCTCAAAAGGAAATGCAATGAAGTAGCAACTCATTAATTATATGTAATAGTTTCATATACATATAGTAATCCTTACATGCTCAATACAAATGTGTACTGCAGCCAGGGCTAGGCCAAAACATTTTCTGCCTGAGGCTAAGGACAAGATTGCCCATCCCCCACACCAGATTACACCTATATAAACTGTCTAGGCTGGCAGTTCGATTATATTTCAACACTGCCAATAGAACAGCATCTTCTACCATACCTGATGGCAGCAAACTAGCTGCAGGTGGGGAATGCAGTGCAAGTCAGATGGCATACAAACTCTGCCCTCCAAATACTGACTGCTGATTCCCACCTCCAACATCTGTTCCAGATGGTTGCCACTCTGCCAAATGATAGGGCTGACTCTTCCAATGAAGTTATCATCTTGTTCTCTGGTGAGTTAGCATTATAGGCTAATGGGTTCTTTGCAGCCACATTAAACATCCTTCAGTATCAATTTTGTTCTGTTTTGTTTAAAGAAGACAGAGAAGTTGTTCCAAATGAGCTAGTGAAGGAGGCCTTCCAGTAAAAACCTGTGTCCAATGGGACTTACTCCTGAGTAAGTGGGTTTGGGAGGATTGCAGTTTTAATACCCATCTCCCAACTTTAGCAACTATGCACTGTCATATATAATTTTGTTTTGTTTTTTTAGCAAGAAGTTGAGTAACCTTTTTCACTAAACCAGGAGTTGCTGTACCCCTGAAAGTCAAAAAATACTCTAGCATGTTTCAGATAAATAGCATGTGTAAGCATAGTCTTGGTGTTCAGAAGTGGTTCATATATATGATTGTTGTAATCTTTACATTAACCTTGTAAGGTATGCTAGTATTGTTATATTCTATTGTGACTGGGAGGCTGAGATTAAGAGACACAAGTAAACCTAATAAATTTACAGTGAAATTTGAATGAAGAGATATATTATTTTATTGTTGTAATCTGCCCAGGGAGACATGTGGCTAATGGGGTGGGCTAAACATCAAATAATAATAAAATAACTTCCTGGCTCATACTTGTACAGCACAATGCTACAGGTTCACAAAGAGTATTGGCTAGGACGTTACTGTGTTCTCATGTAAACACAAGACTAGCTAGTGTGAGGGTCCATCCACTGGGTTTATATAGACTGTTTCAGGAACAGAAATCCAGACCGCAAAAGGGAAAAGGTACAAGTCAGTTTTATTGATTGCATGTATAATACATTAGTCTACAGCCACATAATATGGTAAAATTTCCCACAAGGCACAAACCACAACAGCAGATACTTTAAGTGATGGTGGCTCACTGCAACCTAACTGAAGAGGGATGGCCTCTTATATTCAGATGGAAGTGGGACCTGAACATTTATGGTCAGTTTAAGCAAGGCTTTGATGATGTTTAGATAAATTGTTCTGGAGTCAATTAACCAAGGAGTCCTTCTCTGAAAGCCTTCTTATCAAAAGCCAGCATAACTGGAGCTTATTATGTGATAATTCTTGCTTAACTTCCCCTTTCTGTCTCCTCACTTTTATACCTTTTCTTTGATCAGCCTTTGCCCATCCCCTTCTCAGCAAAATTGATTAAAGATACCATGCTAACTTCAGACCATTTGTTGTTAATATTTGATTGTTATATGATACATCAAAGTTGTGATAACTTCATTAAAAACATTGTTGGCATCTCTGCAAAAGGGAAAGTATCCATATAGCATGGACCAAAGTTATCACAGCAGTTTTAATTGCCCATTTAATGGAACCCAGCCTGTCTGGGATGGATATTTTGCTTCTCCAATTGCCTCATTAAAAGTACTAGACACCTCCTTTTCCCTTCATGTTCTGTATGGCAACTCATTGCAGTACTGTAAGTTCAAGCCAATTTTGGGGCATTAGCATCCAAGCAGGGAAGCAGTTTTAGCCAGCAATCACTCAGCCTCAGTATCTTACCCATACCTTTTTGTTAGCTGCAAGTATTAACATACTGTTGCACACAAGTTTGTAAGAGCAATGATTCTGCACCATAGCACACATTCAACATTAAATATTCCCCTGTGGCTGCACATTGTATGGGAAGGTTGGTACTGTTGCACAAGCTGCCCTCCAGGTATGATTCTCTGCCAGTACTGATCTTCCTATTCATGAACTCCCCATAAGCTCTTGAGGAACCCCATGGTTTGCTGGAACCCATTCAAAAGCTACTGTCTTAAACAAATGAGTAACATCAGCCCCAATAACGAAAAGCAAGCCTCTGTATGAAGTCGTTCGGTTGTCTGGGAAAGCTCCTTCATATCTTCCTAGACCCTGTGTAAATCTGGTTAATTTATTACTTGAATGCTTTATAGGCTTGTTCTCCCTCTTCTGCCTTGACAATACCACCCTGTGAGGCTTGTTACTGTTATTCCCACATTTTATATGTGGGAACGAAGGCTTGGAGATTGTGATTTGATCAGGACCACCCAGGAATTCTGTGGCACAGCAGGAAGATGAAGTCAGATCCAAATCCAACACACTGTCCATTGGCCCACATAAGCCTTTTAAACAAATGTTATGACTACAAAGCTGTAACATTAGGATTACTGTACTTCCTAATCATTCCGAGCGGACTTCACCACCATCATGTAAAGATACCGTGGGTTTTATTTTACTTATTTTATTAATTAATGCATGCACATGCTGTCTTTTTTCTATGGTGGTTTACAGTTTAAAAAAACATACAATGATCAGAAAAATTAGAGTTCTTTCAGACTGATGGTAGGTCTCTTCACGAATTGATGGCAAGGGCTCAGTGGCCTTGGCTGAGTCACCTCTGCCTTCCCTCAGAACCTGGAACTTAAGACCTCTCAGTAAAAGTGAGGCTGGGGCTAGGGCTACACCAACAATCTGCTCAAATCACTCAGCTGATGGCATAATCTCCCTGGCTGCAGCTGCCTTGCTGCTTTCCTTGTTTAAAAAGTATATGCCACTTTATACCACTGCATTCAAATTTCCCAGCATTACAGTCTTGGCCACTTATTCCTAAAGACTGAATATTTAGTTTTATTATTGGTTTGTTACACTGTTTGTATTTTCCTTCAAAGAGCCCAAAGGTAATATTCATAAAGAGCCAGTGTGCTGCAGTGGCTAAGTGAGTAGGATTGGAACTCAGGTGATCTGGGTTCTATCCCCTGCTCAGTCATGGAGCCAACAGGATGACTTTGGGCCAGTTGAAGATTCTCAGCTCAACCTGCCTCACAGGGTTGCTGTTGTGGGGATAAGTCTGAGAGAAGATTAAGAGGAGAATAATGAAAGTCACTTAAAAAAAAAGAAGTGGGATATAAATTTAATAAATAACAGATGTGATTCTCCTCCTCTTCATCCTCCCATCAACCCTGTCAGGTAGAATAGGGTGAGAGTCAGTGACTGGTCTAAAATCATCCAGAGAGCTTCATGCCCAAGTGGGAATTTAAACCTAGGTCTTCCTAGGCTACCACTCTAAGCATTGCACTACACTGGCTTTCTCATATTTGGTTTTAACTCTCAGGTATAAACTGAAACCTAGTATGCACCCCCAAAATAGTAGATGCCTTCAATCTACTTGCTTATGTTAGCTGCTGCTGCTTTTTAACCTCTTGTGGCTACATTCAAATCAATGTGTTTTAGGAACGGATTGAAACATCTTTTTGCATTAATCTGCCTGATACTTCTGTTGTGCATGGAAGGCAGTGAGACTGTTATTACAATAAGGAAAATGTTGGCTGTGTGAATTGTTGAGTCCCTTTGATATATGAAGTACCTTTTATGCGGAAGTATCTTTTAATATATAGAGGTGTATTATTGAGAGAGCAGGAGTTTAATGGTTTTCACAAAAGCTGTTGACTAAGGGCTTGTTTGACTAATATGAATCCAGTACAAGTATGCAATGTTTGGGAAAGTGCTTTTGAATTTCTTTTTTGGCATTGGTCTACATTTGTTTAAACAAAATTCTTTGGAGAGAATAGCAGCCTTTCTCCAGGTGCTTTATTGTGTTTCTCAAGGTCTTTTTAATAGCATTATCTGGCTGGGGGACTATAGATAATTGTGATAAGAGAAACCAAATCATGTTAATCTTATTTAGAAGTCTGTTGGTTGCCCCAGGCTGTGGTATCAGGTGTTCTTTGAAGAAATCTGAGCTTAGCCCCTTCTCTTTTGGGATGGGCAGACTATCTTTAAACTCCCAACACCCACAAAAAGAGCCAGGCAGGTCAAATCAGTGCTTTTAAACACTGCCTCCCGATGTTGTAGTGAGCATCCCCTATGTCCTTCTGTCTTGCAATGTTTGTATATGTTTTGTTTAACGTGACATATTTCTAGGCTTTGGAACAAAGTTAAGATTTTTAGATGTATTGGCCATGAGGCACCTGGGTTCTCCAATGCTAGATGTTTTGTTTTGTAATTTATGAGATTTGTGTTCAACAAATGCTGTTTTACAACAAAATGCTGTTTTAAAAACTAATTCTTACTGGTACTGCAGTT